GAACCATCCTTAACTCCAGTTCCAGAGGAATCTGATGCTTTCTTCTGACCTCCGTGGCACTGGATGACATGGTGCACTCACATACACTCCGACAATACACTCATACACATAAAATACAAACAATAATAATAAAAGGATAATGAGGAAGCTGCAAAGGAGAAAAGCCTGCTATCAAGTTGACATTTTTCAGTGTCACTGTATGTGAGACAAACTGTAATTTGCTAAAACACAGTCTGTTTTCATTGTAAATTTCCCCTCTCCAATTAAATACTAGATGTTAAGAAATATTTCTTTTGAAATACTTAAGAGCAGGAAGATCTAGAATTTATATCCGAGTTAGTATATCAAATAAAATACCTGACACATAGTAAGCAGTTAATAATTAATAATCTCTTTGTGTTAACTATAATGCACTATTACCATCGCTCAGTCATTAAAGCTACATTTTCTGGTCTTCTAGAGTCATCTGTTCATTCATTTACTCACTCAGCAGAGTTTTAATGGTGCTGGTTGTTGGGAGAAATGAACGCAAGGTAACCTGACACTAAGAACTCTTGAGGACACTTGAAGGTGATTTCTCAAGAACTTTACAAAATAGACTGAGGTCACAAAAGACGGGAGCGATCATAAAAGAGCAAGTGTCCTCTCCATGTTGCAAGCACAATTTTATTTACTCACAAAAGGCATTGAAACTTTGAACAAAAGCAGATTCAATAAGAATTCTTGGCTGTGCTCTGTGTGTGTTTCCTTGTTGAGGGGGTGGGGGATTGGAGGACAGAGTCTCCATTTGAATATACCGCCTACAAGAATTCAAGCACAGAAGAGCTGTAGAGAATACCACACCTAAACTGTCTGTTAAGTCAGCAAGATAGGCAGGTAAACCTGCTTGGTGGAGTAGGTGTTATAATTCTTTTCTCCTATGGGGTGGTTCTTCCTCTTTTTTTCTCAATGCCTTGACCTTTCTCATGAGCACAGTCAGTCCTGAGCCTACCACCATCAAGGTCAGCCACATTCACTTTTGGTAATAACTTCTCTTTAAATGTAAGTGATTTTTTTTCTTGGACCATTTGTCTTTTAATGAGTATGTGTTCAATTAGATTGTTATGGCCTTTTCAAAAAAATAATATTTTCATTATTTATGTACAATCTGACCTTGAAAATGTCTTTCTTCTGCCTCCTTATCATAGCTGTACTGTTTTTGAAGACAGGTATAGTTTAATGCTAGCAGAACAATGATTCATTGTCATGAAAATGAAGAAAATCACATTTTGCTCCATTAGGAAGTCTCAGAAACAATCTTTCATTATGGAAGTCATTAACATTACCAACTTTGCTTTATGAATACAGAAATAAAATTCTAACATGTAATTTAAAATATTTTCTACTAATCAAAGTATGCTAATTGAGCATTTATATACATACACATGTACACATACTTATTGTCTTATTGAGCACAATCTGAGTTTTAGGGTGCAAATAAATTAGATAAATTATCTAATAGGAAAGGAACAAAATTCAGCCTCAGAAAATGGAGTATAACCAGTCAAAGTCTTACTCTAGGGAAAAATTTGTCTTAATTTTTCATATTATTTTTTCAAAATTTTCATTAGTTTATGTGGTATTGTTATAATCTTCTAACTTTATGTTATTGTCAAGGAAACTTACGACCTCTTTGACACAAAGTTATATGTCAAGAAAAAGCAGCCTTTAGCCAGGAGTGGAACACTCCTATTATCTGAATACTCGGAGGGCAGAAGTAGGAGAACCACAGATTTAAAGCCAGTAAGATCCTCTCTCAAGAAAAAAGGAGCAAACAAATAAAAAGAGCTTTGATGGGGAAGAAGTGATCAAACAATAAGAAAAGGCAAAACATTGTTGGAGTAAACATGTTTATAATTAGAACATTGGAAGGAAGCTATTAATCATTTTCAGTCAGAGAGTCTTGTATTTTCAGCCATATTGATTAATGAACAGACAATCCTCCTTAAACAATTTGCTAGGCTGTGATAGGACTCTCGACTCAACAAATCAGAAATATCACAATTCTTCCTAAAGAATTTTGCTCCCTAAGATATATTTTGTCTAAGATCCCTTTCCAGCTCTAGTATCATCTAGTTATATGAGAAAATGAAAAACTAATTGAACTTCTAGAGACTAGCGGATACATTTCATACTTCATAGGGCTAAGGAAGAAGTTTCAATTAATTTCATTTTAATAAAAATCAATATAATTACTTCACTAATTGTATTCAGTATTGTATATACTGCTGGTTGTTACATCAATACTTATACAAAACATATAAATAACATTATATAGCAATATGTAATATTCAATAACTTCTTGAGTACTTATTCAAATAGCAAGTTTATAGAAGAAAGGTGATAAACTTTTTCTGAAATGGTCACTTTCATGTTCTTGTCATGGTTTTGTTTGTACATGCCAAAAAACTAGAAGTAGTCCTCAAATTATTAAAATTATTAAGATTATTATTATAAGTTGGTCCTCAAATTTGGAGAAGAAAGTCATTTGGAGATTTGCGGCAGTCTACAATCTATGAAAATTTGAGAACTTTAACTGTATTTGTGCTATTTCTACATTAAATCATGGCAATAAATAAACACTAATAACAACATTGTGCTTCCTAGAACTCTCTTAAGAGTTCATTAAAGTCTGCAAAAATGACCATTTCATAGTCAAAAGTCATGAGCCATTTTCAAGAAGTTCACATATTTCTATATTCATGTTGCCAACCAGAGCAAACACGCTGACTCTTTCATCAAAGTCTAAATGGGTATGGAGTAGTGCTTAAACTCTTCTGTTCCAACAAGCTAAGACTTGCTTTTTATTCCACATCTGTTTGACTGACATGAAATTTCACATGCAACTGAAGCAGAACCTAGGATTTAAACAAATATGGATAACAGCTTTGTTTCTAAAAGAAAGTCCAAACAAATAGAACAGAACCATTTCCATCTTGCTGGCACTATAAGCTCCATAGATGTGCAAAAAAGTAGAAAGCTGCAGTCCCACATGCCTCCATTAGGTGATTGCTCATGTGGTGTTTAGAGCTAAATTGTGTTCATCTTTTTAGGCCTCCATTCTTACCCTCTTTAAGGAAGTGGTTAAATGGTTTCTAGGTCAACAATGAAAATATTGCTGTCAAAGTTGACTCTAGGTCAAATCTCTTTGACATGTGAGTCATTTTCTTATTATTCACACTGCTGGTTCCAAACTCCTGATCTCATGTCAGAAATCGCATTGTGTCTCAACTGAGTGACATTCACGCACTTCTCCGCACACTGCATGGTGGGTGCCACTAGTTTCATATCTTGTTCCATTAGATTCTGGTAGTGATACTGTAAGGTTGGGAGAGGAGATACTCTTCTGTCTCATTTTGCTCATTAGGATTCTGAGAACATTCTGCTTCTTCACTTGATGCACTGGTATGAAAATTTTGCTTGAACCCTCCCAACAATGACAGACACTCACTGCAAACATCAGTGACTCAGGCAAACTGGTTACATGGCATCATGCAGACCACTATTTCTCAACCCACAAGTGCATCATGCTTTTGATGTGTCAGGGAGACGCCTTGGGTGTGTCACAGTCTAAGATTTCTTCATTTCCACAAGCTTCCTGTTTCTCACCTGTCCAGCTTCTAACTGTCACTGCAACCATATCTCAGTCTTCAGCCTGATGTCAAAAGCAAAAGTTCGGAAGTCTCTAATCAATTGGAAATCTTTGGACAGGTGAAGCTCACCTAACAAGGTAAGATGGAGATTTGTCATAACCAGGAGGCAGATGAAAATGGTCATCAGGTACAAGGGCTCTGCAGTGAGGCTGCCTGTATGCCATTCCTAGCTAGACCTGTCACCTGTTGCTTCTGTGACCTTGGGCAGATCGTAAGTGACTCTAAGCCTTTGCTTTTTAATCTGTAAAATGAAAATAATATTAGTGTCAATTTTATGTGGTTTTTGCAAATTTAAGTAACATGAAATATTAAAGACAGTGTTTAACATAAATGCTCAATAGATACTATTAGTTGTGATTTTTAAATTATAGAACATTTGTAGAAATAAAATGACTTTCAACTCAATAGCAAATGTATGAAAAGCTATATAGTTTCAAAAGTAAATTGTGTTTTGTAAGTCAGATATCAATTTCTTACAGTAATGAACTTCTGATTATAAGAATAAGAAAAGTTAGTGGAAGCTATTCTTGAGAACTTACATTGCACAGAGCATATCGTATCTATTGTGTCACTTAATCTTCACTGTATCACTGTGAGGAAAGTTGTGGTATTATCTTAATACTGCTAACAAAGAACCTAGACACAAAGCTATTACCTCATTTGCCCACAGTCAGAAATTTTGTTTGTGGAGAGGCTGAAATTCACAGTCAGGCCAATGGACAGCAACACACTCAGGTAATGAGCTCGCTGTGCTCTGATGGTGTTGGCCTGTCTTTGAAGAAATGATCTTTTTAATGATGGCAATGAAACGTGACTCCATGAGAGATATGCAAGTCACGCCTTTAGGGAGTACGCATGGGAAAGCGTCACATACCTATAAACTAACTGTAAACTTGTTGAGTTAGTGGAAGCTTCATCTGTTGCATTGTTTGTTTGTTTTGTGGGATTGAAGGCTAGACTACAGATACCCCCCTGTTTGCTTTACAATAATGTAGAAACTTGTCCTCTGAACTCACTCTTGAACAAAGGCAAAATCATCAAAAACCTTGATTCAAAGAAAAACAAACAAAGCAAAAATCCTCTATTCATTTCATTTTTAGAGCTACATACGTACAATGAGGCTGCTTCTGGGTCCACAAACAGGTGACCTGCACCCACAGCAATCTCTTCGTATTTCTTTCCTGTACAGAGCATCAGCTTTTGCAGGGTGTTATTCAAGTTTCATTAGGGTACTATTGTAATTCCACTAGTCAACATGGATGGAAAAAATTAACATGTGAACATTAAATCTTTTATGCCAGACATTCCTATGATGTGGCTATTTTTAACAACAGCCTTTTTGGTTTGTGAAACTTTAAATGCTGGTGAATTCTTGAATTTGGAAGATGAAGAGAATCCTGAAGTATGGATGAATACTGTAAGTCATGGTAGAGTCCAAAGAACCTGAAATAAACTAGAATTCATGGGTTATGGGATCACAAAGGACCCTGCTATAGCAGAAAATCTTAGATAAGAGACACAGGACAGGGACATGGTTTGTAATGTTTTTATAAGCATCAAGCTAGGTAAATCTGTTCCTTTAACTGGAAAAGTGATCTTTTCTAGTAATAAAAACAGAATGTGTTATGTCTTTTAGATATATCAATTCTCCATTTAGATTTGTTTAATTTTATTTAGATTTAAATTGCCATTTGGATAATGCAGAAGACAGCCTTCTACTAGCATATAATTTCACTGTCTTTAAAGCCAAAAGGAGTCTCAAAATACAGTAACTTTGGAATATAATCTTGTCAGAAAGGTCAATGATGAATAATATTTTCTAGCACTTTATTCTGTTTTTGAAGACCTTATGTAGTAAATTAATTTTACAAGTACCGAAGGCTATAGATTTTTGTGTAATCCATTTCAATAAGCACATCAGTGATTTTGTTCTTTTTCTTTCTGATAAACCCAGAGAAGAGGAGTTGCTAATAACTCTGTTTCCACTGGCAGAGTGAAATCATCACCTACAATGGCTACCCCAGTGAAGAATATGAAGTCACCACTGAAGATGGGTACATACTCGCCATCAACAGGATTCCCTATGGGAGAGCACAGGCTGGGAGGACAGGTACAGGACAGGTGTCTCCTGAGGAGAATCACATGTGAAATTTAATGTTAGCTAGTCATCAGAAAAGAACCAAAATCAGTTTGAATTACAGTGGTAGTGTTTTGATGGCTAACAAGGAGGCTCATTCTTTCCCTTCTAAAGACAGAGAAGAACCTAAATACACAAGGGCAAGACAGATCTTGCAGAGGAAAATCAGACTTGCTTGTTAGATGTAAATGCCAAGATAGAGTCTACCTTTGTTAACCCATTACTGGTTTCTCAGGAAAACCAGATTCCATGCTGTTGGAAAGAAACTAGCTTGCTAGGCTAAAAGAAGTTGACTTCACTGCAGTATGCAAAGATATCTCCATGGATCCGTCTGAAATTCCTGGTTCACTCACTGCAGAGTACAAAATCTCTGCAGAGTACAGTGTGTCTCTATAACTTTTTGTAAGAATGAAAACACACATTTACATGGCCTTGATCAAAGGGACAGCTTGTGAAATGAGAGAACATGGTGTTAACAGGGTCTGAATTCTAGAATGAGGGGTCAACATGCAAAAGCATGAGGATCACAATCTAAAAGGGAAAGCTAATGCCATAGCCTATGCTGAAGGCAAGGTAGGAGTAAGTGAAAGACTTACAATGGCTCAGGGGCAAACCTTTCATTGGTGCCTGCGTCCCATATCAGGTCTGTATCTTCTCTCCATCCATAGTCCGTGGCAGCTAAAAAAGGCACTAAAATCACATTGTTTTACATTTTGTTCCTCAAAGAAAGAAATATGCAATTCAGTGGTTTCATGTTGAAAACTAAGAGTGCTATATGGGAAGTTCTACCATATAAAACACAGCTTTCCAAGTTAGATTTTAATCCCAAATAGCTAATAAATACTTTTAGTACAAGTTCTATTTTAGGATATATTTCTTCTAAAAATCATTCAGTATTATCTTAATTTCAAATTAATAGAGCACCCTTGATCTTGTTCATGTTTAGATTTGTCTTTTACTAAATATGGCAATAAAGTTGAGAGAGAAAAAGCTGAGAAATATAAAACGAATAATTTTATGGAAATAATTTTGTTTAGGTTGAAAGGATTTGGGGAAAGATGTTGAAGTTAAAACCATTTGTTAGCTATATTATTCTAAATGTTTTAAATCACTTATATCTCCCAGGAGCCCTAATAGTCTGCATTTATAGATGATGAGGCAGAATAGCTTATGGAATAGGCACAAAGCCACACAAATAACAAGTGACAAAACTATAATTTAAATTTGGACTGCCTGGCTCCAGAGACTATGGTCCTAGTATTTAAATTATAGTGCTTTTTTCCATTTTCAACCCTGGTTCTTCTCATTCACTGAATCCTCACTCCCCCACAAACTTGGAAGCAAACAGAAGGAAAGAGAAATGATTGTACTATCACAGTTTCCAGGTGCTCTCCAGTCAGCAGAGCCTGGGGATCTGGATGGAAGTTCAGCAAGGAGCTGATCAGTGCCCATTTAACAGATGTGCCTCTTCTTCCTCCCTAAAACCAATACAGAGCTCTATTAAGCAAAGGACATAGAAAAACCTATGTCCTTTTAAGCCACTCTGAACACATGTATGTACATGCTACTCAGCATAGAATGGGATTATGTCCTAATAAACACAATGTAAATTGAAAATTCCATGAGGAAAAAATGCATTTCATATACCTAACCTACTAAACCTCATAGTTCAGCAACTCAGCACACTGTAGAGTTTTTCCCTTGTGGTCACATGACTGTCTAGTAGGCGATGAACCCCCATCCTGCTACTGTGCTGCATCTATAGGGAATATCATATAGCTCAGGCTAGCCCAGGAAAAGATTACAATCAAGGTTTGAAGCATAATTTATATTGAACATGTATCAATTTTACCACATGGTAAGGTTGAAAATTTGTTAAGTCAAACCATCATAAGGTGGTGACTGTTTATGAATGGAAACATGGAGCACAGCAGTCACAGTGTGTGCTTTGACATGAGACACAATCAGTTTTAAAATTCTGCTCTGAACTTGTGAGCTGAATGATCCTCTAGGGAAGTTCCTCTAAAATTCCTCTAAAACTTGGTATGTCTATTTGTGAAATATTCCTCAAAATAGCAGCTACTTTTAACTTAAAGAATTGAAGAAGCTGGGGCAGAAGAGATGGCTCAGAGGTTAAGAGCATTGGCTACTCTTTCAGAGGACCAGGGTTCAGTTCCTAGCACCCAACTATCCTGAACTCCAGTTCCAGGGGATCCACTCTTTTGACTTCTGTGGTCAAGAACAGCTCTTGCAGAGGGCCAGGGTTCAGTTCCCAGCACCCACATGGCAGCTAATAACTGTCTGTAACTCCAGTTCCAGGGGATCTAACGCCCTCTTTAGACCTTCAGACTTTGCATGATATGAGTGCACTTACAAACATGTAGGCAATACACTCATATATACACATTAAAAATTAAAAAAATATTTTAAAGTTGAAGAAGCTTTGCATGTAATTCAGTCACCATAATACCAGGCACATGAGGTGTAGTCCAGAAATTGGTTATGTGATACAATACTCTAAACTAATGACAAGGAGAAAAGGAAGTGTGTGTGTGTGTGTGTGTGTGTGTGTGTGTGTGTGTGTTTCTATAATGCTCCAGCATATGCTGGTATAATTTTTTTTCTTTCTTCACAACCCCCTCCTCCAGGTCCCCGGCCAGTTGTGTATTTGCAGCATGCCTTATTTGCAGACAATACCTACTGGCTTGAAAATTATGCCAACGGAAGCCTTGGATTCCTTCTAGCAGATGCAGGTTATGATGTATGGATGGGAAACAGTCGGGGAAACACTTGGTCACGAAGACACAAAACACTCTCAGTGAATGAAGAGAAATTCTGGGCCTTTAGGTAAACTGTATCTAAGAAAAAAATCGCCGGAAAGTTGGAGGCAATTTCTTTTCATACATATGTGTGGATAATATATAATACTTGGGGTCATAATCTCCTTGTGGTTTCTAACATCTACAAACAAAGAAGTAGAAAGAAGCTGGTTTTCACTGATTCTCCTATAGACAAATGATGCTGTTTTAACAAGATCTTTGAGTATTCAATTCCATCTACTAGTCTGCATTATAAGTATATTCACAGTAGCTCAGGGAATGCCTATGTCTAATGCTTGCATTCATTCACCCAGTGTTCACTGAATGCCAACTCTGTGCATTGTCCTTATCCCTGAGCATTTGTTTGGTGGATGACAAATCTCTAACTTCATGAAACTTATATTCATTCTAGTGGTATTTTCAAGGTGTTTCTCCTACAAAATCAACCAATTTTGCAAAAATGCTGTGCAAGGGTGCTGTATTTATTTAAAGAAATTGTGATTGATGTTATATTGCATGCTGTCAGGCATGATGGCTCACCCTTGTAATATCAACCCTCAGGAGGCTGAGGCACGAAGATTGTCATGAATTAGAGGCCAGCCTCAGCTACATAGTGAGTCCCAGGCTAGCTGTAGCTAGGTTCTTGTTAAGACATCAAGACTCCTCAAAAACAAAGTAAGAGAGAGAGGAGTTTATACAGCATACCATTTTAAGGAAAACTCTAATATGAGGTTTTGAAAACATTAATGGACAATCAGTAAGATTGGGGGGGTATTCTGACGATTTCTTTTAACAGAGTTGTTTTTTGCTGTTACTAGAAGACAGGTTGGTAGATATGATAAGCTTCCCTTCCCAAGAACCTAAGCTTCCAGTTGATTTGCATCCTGCTGCTAGACTAGGGAGCCTCTTACTACCATACTAATGAATATTCATCATCTACTGAATAGTTTTGGAGGAGAGAAAAGAAGGGATACATTGTTAGGGTTACAGATCCATGGAAGAGACAAGATTCAGGAAATATTTTATATCACTAATCTTTAGTAGGAAACCTGGAGCTGTTTTACTATACAGCTCTTACAACCAACTCTTACAGTTGGTTGTATCAATCTAGAGGTGTTTCTTGCAAGCACATACCTAACTCATGGGGTTCTTGGTACAACTGAATACTGTGGAGGCCTTTTTGTTCACCTATACTGATGCCAAATGAGCTGGTACTGGTACTGTAGACTACTGAGTGCATATCTATGTGGACACAAATACTAACAATAACATGTGATTAAGTGGGGTCTAGCAACCAAGTAATCTCTTCCATAGTATCTAAACCCTGCAGCACCCCTATAAACCATGTACTGCCTTACTCATTCCACAACTGGAAAAGCTTAGGGTGATAACATTTGAGTAATTTTCCTAAAGTACTCAGCTAGTAAATGGTGGACTCATAAATGACAACAGTCTTAGTTCTGAGGGTGAGTATCAAATAGCCCTAATAGCCATGAATCTCACAGAGATTCTGATTTCAGAAGCAGTGGTCTTCAAAGTAGATGGGGAAAGGGGAGGGACAGAAAAGCAAGAAAGAAGAATGGAGAGGAGTGGATGTGTGAGAAGGTAGAACATCAGATAGTAATACATATAAGTCTTAGGAGGTAAACAGCATAAATGCACAAACAGCTACAGCAGTCTATATTTCATGTGGGAGATAATTAGATGCACACTGAATAAGTAGACAGTGTGGAATGTCCGTGTGAGAAAGAAGTGAGCAAGTACCTGAGTTCTAAAATTATAGTTGTACATATTTAAAAGTCCCTATTTTATTTCGCAGTTTTGATGAAATGGCCAAATATGACCTCCCACGAATAATAGACTTCATTGTAAATAAAACTGGTCAGGAGAAGTTGTACTTCGTTGGACATTCACTTGGCACTACAATAGGTATTGTTACAAGGGTTAATGTCATCACAACTGTAAATTGAAATGGAATAGCAGCTTGCTGTTTATAATGCACTTAATTTTACATCCTATACTGAGAATAACCCTCTTGTTCTATGTATCTGTGACCCTGTAGTCCAGAGACAGTGCATGTCAAGGGCCAAACTTTCCTCCATTTTAGGTCATAGCTACACATTTGTCATGGTGATAAATGTTTCCAGGAATATCTCATGTCCCAAATCTAGTGAGATAATTGTAAAGAGTAGGTTTACAGATGCTATTTGAACTGAAAAAGCAGTTTAATGGCACAAGACGTATCTGAAGAACAGCAGATATAAATCAGGCATACTTTCCTTGTAACCAAAAAATTTGACTGAAGAAAATTAAAAGGGAGAGGCTCAAAATGTAATTTGAACAAATGGAAAACACATGATCACATTTGTTTGTGAGTTGAAGCACAAAAACTTAAAATAATACATCAATTAGACCTGTCTATTCATATGATTTAATATTTAGAGAGCAGCAATTAACTAAATAGAAATTTGAAGATGCTTTAAATTACCTTCTTGTTTAAAATGTATGTACTATGACTGTAGACATTTTGATTTTTTTTATCTGCAGTACTGGGGTTGGAACCTGGGGCCTCAGGCATGCCCAGCAAGAGTTACATCACTGAGCCATACCCACAACACTTGCTTAAACATATTGGAAAGAAATCAGTGATCTTGTTCAAAAAAGAAAAGCTTAAAGAAAACAATACTGACAGAGATTTGAATTTGTTAATGATTCTCTACTAAACTTCTGAATTTTAAGAGGATATGTCATGTGAAGATGAGACATTTAGGATGGGTAAACCATCAAGAAACAATAAATCTCACAATTTTTCCATAGCTACCATTACCATTGATAACAAAAAAGATACTGACATACTTTATGCCGATAAGCATTTTATAAGCTTGGGAGAGCCTAAGAGAACACAAACCAAAAGAGCATCAAAGTAGCCAAAGAGAACCCAAAAGAATGCCATCAAGAGGCAGACAATTATACCATAAAATCTATACTTTCCAAGCATTCGATATGTTTAGGGATCTGTGTTCAGGACTTCCCCTCCCTCTAATCTTCAACACAGCCCCAATGTTTCTGTGCACAAATCACAGATGACGAATAAAGTTTAGAAGAAGTAAGCGAGTTACCCAGGTTCTCTAAGACGTAAGGCAGAACATAGATTGAAACCAGAACAGTACAGTTTCACCAATGGGATGCACAGGCGCAGTGGGGGCACTGTACAGAGGAGGAAGGGTTTACTTGTGCCTAGGAATGTGAATAAGACTTAGCTATGCTTTTATTGATCTGAAAAGAAAATAGGAGAAATGGGGCTGCCAGGACTCTGTTATGTTTGGGTCTGAGTATATTTTTGTGAGTACCAGTTGAATTTTGAGCAGAGAAAAAAAATTTTGATGGCAGAAGGACCCACTCTCTGCAGGTTGTTTAGTAACTAGGTCCTAGCCTCCAAATGTTCAGGAGGTGCTGTTTTCAGTGTGACAATCAAAGACCTCGCCTCTGAGCATTTCCAAGCATGCCTTGACCCTAAGTATTACACCTTGAAGTATTAAACCTGGTTCAGAGCTAATTAACCAATTGATTTTCATGGTCCAAACAGTTTTAACATCTCAGTACGTGTGTGTGTGTGTGTGTGTGTGTGTGTGTGTGTGTGTGTGTATCCAGCAGAAACCTAACAATACATCTTGGGAAAGTAAACAACACAGATGTTCCCAGGAGCCTTTCCAGAGTGGTGCTGATCTCCACCTTTATCCTTAAGGGGTATAAATGAGTGTTTTGCCACTGCTGAATTAGCAGAGCAAATGGAGGTGCCTGGGCCTCCCTGGATCCACCTTCAGTTTGGGAAGCTGGAGAGAGTCTGGGTGGGGTATAAATATTCAGGAATGGCAATGAAAGCTCACTGAAGAATGAGAAAGAAACCTGTGCAATAACTGAAACTTGCTGAAAAACTGATTCATTTGTATCTTATGACCTGATGGTTTACTCCTAGAAGCTCTGTGACCTGTCAGGTATCTTAGGACTGAGGGTGGAATGAGAACACTGCCAGCATTTACCTTGTGCTTTGGGAATGAAGGTGTCTGTAGTTCTCCAAGCAGTAGGTGCTTTAGCAGCTCCGTCCTTCACCTTTTACCTACCAGCAGCTCCATTTTCCCTAAGTGAGTTAAACTGTACACCAATAGAATAGGGGAAAGCTATGGACTTAGGACTCTATAGAACTGAAGGCAGATTATCTATGCAGAACAACTCAGAAAAACTTCCCAGTTCATCCCCCAAATCACTGCAATCGGAAGAGAAAATATTACGAGTAGATCTCCACTCCCATTGATAGAAATATTGCATGAGTACATCTAATTTTTACGAGATTATCTTGTCTCCTGTTCCCCCAGGGTTTGTAGCCTTTTCTACCATGCCTGAACTGGCACAAAGAATCAAAATGAATTTTGCCTTGAGTCCTGTGATCTCATTCAAATATCCCACAAGCATTTTTACCAGTTTTTTTCTACTTCCAAAATCCATAATCAAGGTAGGCTCCTCATTTTGCCAAAATTTACCTGAGGATCTCATCTTGTATCATAGATCCTAATCATTTTTAATCTCTATGAAATGAAAGTAGGAAATTTAAGTAAAATCCATAGAAATCAGAGGCTTTGAGGATGTACTTGCCTATGTGTGTACCTGTGTGTATATGCCTGTGCCACAGTATGCATAGGCTCCATGTACACTGTACTATATTCAATCACTTTCAGAGATATGTACATAGACTTACAAGCTCAGCTGAGTTCTACATCAGTGTGTGATCTACTCACAAGTTTTCTTGTTCTACTTAGTTAAGCAGATCAGTGAGTTCACGATGTCCAACTGGAAGATATTCTTCTATTACGTATGATTATAGATATCTCTGCTTTGACATTAGAACACCCCTAAATAATGTATTTTTCCATATGGAAGCTTGCTGTAAATTACTAAAGCTACTTTCCAGAGTCAGATTATTGTATAGTGCAAATATTTATTGATACCTTTCGAGAGGTGAAAATATTATTCAATTAACAATTGCAGACATGGAATTTTATTCACTCAAAAGTTTGTTTTGCTTTTATTTTCTGTTCGTTTTGGTTTCTTCTCTGCCTGTCACGGCCAGAAACAGCATGTCCTGGAACATAATATTACCAGTGTACCAACGTCCCTTGAGTGTGGGGTGATGGTAGAAATGGATTTATGCTAAAATAAATTCAGAAAGACCAATTAGAAAATCATAGTAGTTCTTGTGAAAGAAGTTAAGGCCCTACTTTGGAATAGAACTATAGGAATGAAAAAGAAGTATTAGGAGCTAGTCTAAGGAAATACTGTCCTAAGACCAAAAGACTAGTTAAATGCCAGCTTCATTCTCTTGTTTACTCAGAACACAACCAATAATTCTTTTGTGTGGTTGGTACTTCTATTTTTAATGTGTTGTCATCTGTTTTGAATACCATTTACATCTGGGCAGGGTTGCTTGAATTAATTTTGTTTTGTTTTGTTTTTGTTGTTATTGTCCTTTTGAAACCCTGCTCACTTGGAACTTGCTCTATAGATCAGACAGGGCTTTCAATTCCCACCTACTCTCCTGCTTCTAACTCACAGGGCAAACTAGTAAACTAGTTTGATAAATTCAGAGGTAGATACTTGTATCTATAAATATATTGGTTTTGTAATATGCATTGTTCTTCTTACATACACCAGGTGTGGGCCAAGTAATGCTTGTGTCTGACACTCCCTATTGCCAAAATTCTTGCCTCATTAAGCCCCAACTCTGTGACTCCCTTGCCACTGGTTTTCCAAGAAGTTCCCAAACCTTAGTGGAGATCCTGCCCAAGCTTACATTCACCAGACCTAGATATTTTCACCATACTGTTCTTGTGATATCATGGCACATTTGATGTCCAGGGGCCCTTCTCTTCTCTTTTTTTCATCAAGAAAAGTAGCTATTCTGGGGCAGCAATACACAGCCAATGTGTATATGAGAAATGTGGAAAACCCCATGCTTCCTTCCTGTTCAATGCAATATTTCATCTTAAAATGGAAAATTGGTTCATTTTTCTTACCAGCGACTGAGAACTTGGCAGCCACTAATTAGGCAGAATGCAGGGAGTTTCATCATGGAGAAGTGAGGTTGGGGTCAAGGATTCCTTACTGCAATCTCCTTATAAAGAAATGACACTTCATTATTCGATGGAGGATTCCTAGCTCTCTTTCCCAGCATGACTTATCTCCCCAACTAGAAAAACCAATGCAAAATAAGTAAATTCCCAAATCCGATTCATTCTTTTGAGGAAAGGAATACTAAGATGCTTAAAGATACATCTTGAGAAAAAAAATAATTATTGTTTGCTTTCACAGCTTATATTTGGTACCAAAGGCTTCTTGTTAGAAGATAAAGTAAAGAGGCCAGCTATGAAGATCTGCAGCAACAAACTCCTGAGGTCTATATGTAGTGAATTTATGTCCTTGTGGGCTGGATTCAACAAGAAAAATATGAATATGGTATGTATAATAATTATGTGGCCATTTGACACTTGAAGAAATTTCATCTTTCCTTTGATTCATACTCATCTATTATATTGTGTAAATTCACGATTAGTCCAAACCCTTAAGCAGGTATTTTGTTTACATAGAGGAGCATGTATCTCAACAGATCATGAACATGAGAACTGGGGAAGGGAAAGGCAGCTGCATCTTTCTATCCTCTATCAAAGTGCGGAGAATGAATGTTCCATAATGAGCAGAGATTCTCACGTTTGCAAGGAGCTACAACTTATGAAAATGTCAGTTTACTTCATTTTAATATGTGTTAAAAATAAAATTCTAGGGGCTGGAGAGATGGTTCAGGGGTTAAGAGCACTGGCTGTTCTAGCAAAGGACCTGGCTTCAGTTCCTAGCACCCACATCTATACTTAATTCCAGTTCCAGGGGATCCAATGCCCTCTTTTGGCCTCTATGGGCATTGCAGGCATTGGTGCACTTAACATGCATGCGGGCAAAGTGCTCATACAAATATAATGAATTAATTGATTGATTGATTAATAATAAATTTCTAGGACAGGAGAGAAATTGGAGTAAGCACTGTACTTTAATCTTGTACACAGTCCTTCATGAATGAGTTTGGTTTCCAATAAAACTTGCCGCTTAGCCTAGAAAGGCTACTACAGAATGAAAGGGAAGTGGGACCCCCTTCCTATGAAGCATCAATCCTACTGTATCAACAGTTTGTTTCCTATTACTGAGGACTCAGGAAGGAGGAGGGATTTCCATTTGCAAGGAGTGTGGTGACAGTGTTGGCTGCTACCTTCTAAGGTCTGCCAGGTCGGGTAAAATGAAGTTCCATCTCTGTTCACCTCCTATCTCATCCCTGTGCTTTCGGAGGCAAACCCAATGAGGAAACATTGTCACAACTTGCTTGTTCAGAAGTAAAGATGTTTAGTAGCTTCCCTTTGTTCACTTCATTAAAATATAAGGTGCAATAATGATGACTATCTGATCTTTATAACTTCACTTCTATTATGTTCACAAAGATAAAAGTAATCTTTGAAAGGAGCTGATTTAAAGATTTACTTTTGCAATATTCTCTCTCTCCACAAGAGATAGAGTATTGAGAGAGAGAGGGAGAGAGAGAGAGAGAGAGAGAGAGAGAGAGAGAGAGAGAGAGAGGTTGATAGCCTAATTTTAATGTACTTTTTAATTTATGGTTTTCTGGGACAGAATCTCACACTGTGCCCTAGGCTGGTCTTGAAATCCTGGTGACCCCCTTACCTCAGACTCCTACTCCTGGCATCCAGTCCTAGAATTAAAGGAGTGTACTATCACATCTACCCAGCTTAATACATTTATTTGTAGATGAAAAAAAAAAAAACTCAGAGATGTTAAGTAACATGACCAAAGTCATAAAGGTGATAACTAACTACATAGTACCTGAAATCCAAGCTTTGTAATTTATTTATGGGTAGAACCCACGTGCATGCTTGTGTGCATGCCACGCCTGCAGTTGTACACACAATCCCTGTATGTGTATGTAGCCCTTTTCCTGGTCTCTTTGCCCTAAAGCAAATTACCCTGAGGATTCTGACTTAGTGCAGGTTTTATTATCAAGAAATCCATCCCTAAGTCACTCCCTGGCTCACTCACATTCAGACATTACATAAACATATTCATAGAGATGATTTTGCTGTGCCACTTTGAAAGCACCAGTATTTGTCAGTAACTCTTAATAAAATTGTTTTGTGTTTCTGAAAGACGTAAGTTATTTCCTTGGTGATATTTTTTAATTTCCCTAGAGTCGACTGGACGTGTACATGTCTCACGCTCCCACCGGATCATCAGTACAGAACATCCTGCATATAAAGCAGGTAACACCTTCATCATGGGAATCCATTGCAGTCCTTGTTTTCATTCTATATGAAAGGATGGCATTTGCTCGCTAACAGGCTTATCCTGAGAAGCTTAGCAGCTTGGCTCTTTTTCATTCTCATTACCTTTTTTTAGGCTTTGATTTCCCTGGATTTTAAGAAAAAGGGTTTTATGGCAGGTAGCAAATGAATGATGTAAATAAACCTTATTTTAAATTAGAGCTGCTAAAACAGTCTCTAAGCAGAAGCAAAGCATAAATTGAGGGAATCTTGGGAGAGCTGAAACTTCCTCCGGGAGAGGATCTGAAGTTTGACTTTTCTTCTAAGTAGTCTTTGTTTTCCATTATTTTTTCCCCTTTCAATCCAAGAAATAGCATTTTAGTCTCTTTCTGTTGTACCTCATTGGACTCTGTTTTCTGTAGTCATAAGAAGATAGTTGCTTGCTTCTGAAAATACAGAAGTCTTTTTCTCCCCAGCATGTTGTTTACAAAGATTTGCTGTAGTGCTCATGATTCTTACTCTGAATGTTTTTTTCTAAACACATTTATTTCAGCTTTACAGATCCAGTGAATTCAGAGCTTATGATTGGGGAAGTGAGGCTGAAAATATAAAGCGATACAATCAGGTGAGCCACTCAGAGACCTCGGAACGGGGTTCTGAGATATTTGTTTTTGAGTGTTTCAACATGAATCCGGTATTTCTGACTCACCCTCTCTCACCTCCAACTCTTCTCACATCCCCCCACTCCCTCTTAACTTCCCATCCTCTTCTTTGATTATTGTTACATATACGTATATACATTATATATATATACACACATATAAAACACACTCAGTCCATTTTGTGATGCTCATATATACACATATTTATAGTTGACCACTTGGGATTAGATAACCTATCACAGAGCTCATCCTTCAGGAAAATTGATCCCTCTCAGCAATCATTGATTGGCCTATAGTTCTTCATCTAGGGATGGAGCCTTGAGAAGTTCCCCCCATCCATGTTGGCATTTCGACTGATGCAGTCATTATACTGGTCTTATTTAGATAGCCATATTGTTGTGATTTCATGAGTTCAACTTCCCTGTCATGTCTAGAAGACACTATCTAGAAATATTTACTACGAATAGAAGGATAAGTATTTAGAATACAGTTAGAAATTGCATTGGTTTAGGAAGTGGCAACAGTAGGTTCTTTAAGATCTATGACCTCTGCGACCACAGATACATTGTCATGTTTTCACTGTCTGCATGGGTTCTCTCCTATTGAGTGGATCTTAAGTCTAATCAGATAGGCATTGATTATTCCCAAGATAAATGTTCCACTATCACCCATTAGACATAATTTGCTGAGCTGGTTTGTGTGGTTCGTAGGTTTTACAGCTGAGTAAAAGCTTTGATTCATTTTCTCTCTTGGAAGCTTGCATTGTATCTTCTGACCTAGTCTTCAGGGAGGAGACTTCAGAAGGTATTTGAGAGTGAGAAGAATCCTTCCTGTTAATTTCTGACATTTGTGCTGGTAGAATTTTTTTAAAACATGAATTTGTGGATTTCTGAAAGATATAGAATTTTTAGAAATAAAAGGAGCATAAACAAAGGAGGTCAAATCATTTGTAATCTCTCCACCTAGAGATAGTTAGATATATTAATGCTTTTGTGTGTTTGTTTCAGTTTTATCAGCACTTAAATTAGTTTACATAATTTTTAATACTACACCTTTATTTCAAATTACTGAAAGAGATGAGCAATGTTTCTGGAAGGTTTTCCAAACAAAATTGTTAAAGGCTATATAATAATAGAAATTATATCACAATAATCTTTATTAACATTCTGTAAATGAGAACACATTTCTTGATAGCAACAGAAAAACTGTAGATTCATTTAGCACTGTACTTTTAATCTGTCCTCTCCCCCTTTTCTGTCTCATGGTTAGTGGTTGGATGTCTAAGTATGAAATAAACACACAAGTTATTTTCCCTATGTTCACCCAAACTAAGGTTCTAAGGGCTACTTATATATGCAAACACAGATCAACTAAGTGGTTTCAGAGAATCACAACAATCAATCGGACCAGTTAATTTCTGAACAATGAGTCAGATCGTTGGAGGAATGAGTCCAATAGCTCTTAAGATAACCAGGAAAGGTATATTATATGTGTTTTTCTTTAATTTGAACACATTTAAGATGCAATTTACATATAAAATTTTCTAATTTTGTTTTTAATTCAGTAAGTTTTGAAGTTTTAGGAAATGAATTTCTTTGTATACTGTAACTATACTGTAATCAAAATATCAGATACTTCCATTAATTTCCAAAGTTTTCTCTTGATTCATAGACTATATGTCCATTCAGAGGCATATATTTGTAACTGCTTAGAAAATGGACAAATAGTGGTTACTTCAGGGAAGAGAAGAACGGGGAGGAGAAGTGGGTGAGTACAAATGTAAAAGCCTCGCATTTGGGGCTTTACACACAGTATTTTGTTTTCTACCACTAAATTTTTTCATTATATTTATTTAGTGTGTGTATGAGCACACGTATACAAGTATGTATGTGTGCATGTGTGTGCCACAGCACCCATGTGGAGGTCAGCAGTTAAGAGCACTTGCTGCTCTTGCAGAGGACCCAGGTTCAGCTCCCAGCACCCACAGCGGTGGCTAAAAACTGTCTTTAACTCCAGTTTCAGCAGATCCAAGGCCCTCTTCCAACCTCCACGGCTATTTCACACAAGTGTTGCACTTACATAATTTACATACTTGCGGGTAAAACACTCATATACATTAAATAAATAAATAAATCTTAAAAAATGAAACAAAGCTGGATGTGGTTGTGCATATCTTTAATCCCAGCACTCATGAGGTAGAGGCAGGCAGGTCTCTGTGAGATCAAAGGCTGCCTGTAATATATAGAGTGTTCCAGGCCAGCTGGGGCTACCAGGAGTTCTGGTCTCAAAAAAACTGGGACCAAAAAATAAATAAATAAAAAATAAGAAAATAGAAAACAAAAATGAAACAAAGCTGGATGTGGTTGTGCATATCTTTAATCCCAGCACTCATGAGGTAGAGGCAGGCAGGTCTCTGTGAGATCAAAGGCTGCCTGTAATATATAGAGTGTTCCAGGCCAGCTGGGGCTACCAGGAGTTCTGGTCTCAAAAAAACTGGGACGAAAAAATAAATAAATAAAAAATAAGAAAATAGAAAACAAGAAAGAGATAAAGAGTTAGATGAGTTAGATGGTATTTATTTAAAACTAAGTTCCACGTCTTATAGACGACATGCAGTATTGCAGTATTTACCTTTTTTCCACCTCTACCCTCTCTGTTTCTCCCTTGAGTCCCTTTGCCCACCACAGTATCTTCCTTTTACATTCATATCACATTTTTAATTTAGGCTTCCAAATGTGGAACAAAATGATATTCTTCTTTCAGAGCCTGGTTTACTTTGTTTACCTGATCTCGCTCTCTGATCCATTCCTTTTTATGCAAATGGCATGATTTCCTTCTT